ATTGTCGAAAAAGTATTGAGTATTTATCCAATCGACTTTAAAGTCAAATCCTTCAGGTAATATCGTATCGAGTCAGCGTTTGTGTCATTTGATAGTGCCTTCAAAATTCGCATTATCCTACAATTTTACTACGATGAATGCACGAATTCTGCCTGGGCCATAAAGAAATGTGTGCTTTGTCAAGATGCGGTATCAAAAGAAACGGCCCAAAGACGGTTCTGTCGTCTTCGTTGTGAAAATCTTGATGTTGCCCGTATTGGTTACAAAAAAAATTGATCACATTTTGCAAAGTTTAGCAAGGCCAATATGTAAACAGTCGTGATATAGCCAATGAATCAAGCATCTACCATCAAACAATTTTAAACTATTTAAAGCAAACTTCTTTTTCATATGTAGAACTCTTCCAAAACACAACCATATTTTTCACAGCGGTTGGTCACCGGTAGTTAAAAGTGAATCTATTTGACAACATTGCGCAAATAATGATGTGCTCCACAATCTTTGGCACAGCTCAGATAGCACCAAAAGGGGTGATGCTATGCGTTTGGTAGGATTTTGTATTATGAACTGCTGCCGCCTAGAAAAGGGGTTGAGTTAAGGTTTTACTGTAGCTTTAATAAAAAACATTTACTATTCATTTAAATCTAAGTATCATAGGATGCTTAATTCCAGTAAGTATCCAAATTATTTCACTATCTCTTAAAAATATATTAATTAGAGGCTATATTAGCTTTTACTTTGAAAAAATATTTAGACCATATAATCGCAGCTGCTGGCACAGATTTCTCCAATAAATTTAAATTAGATCTCATTATTCTTCATAACATCAAAATTTACCTTTTGCTTTAAGTTCTTAGAGACTTTATCAGATTACAATAAGCTATTGAAAAAAATAGGAACTATTTAACGGAAAAAACGTGGTCTTTCACAATGAGAATAGCCGACCATATACGTCGTTAGCTACCAAGAAAAATTTGAGAAGACTTGGGTAAGAAATTTTAATGCGTCCACCGTATAGCCCAGGTTTTGCACCATGAGACTATCGTATGTTTCGATTTCCGCAGAACTTCTTTCATTATGTTGATTGAGTTTTAGCAAAGAATGAAAAAATCATCTGCCACAATTTTTCACCTATAAACCGAAGAAATTCCACAATAATGGGATTGTTATTACCAAAAAATAACAGATAGTCATCGATCAAAGTGTCGCATAATTAGTTTGCCAATATGATTTTAAAATATAACAAAAAGAGAACATTTACGTCAATGTTGGTTTAAAAACGGTTAATACTTTTCCGATAACCCACATTACTGATATGCTGCGTAACTCCGCCATGCTGCACACTTGTGTGCTTCGACATACGATTTGGGGCCACCCGCGCTCCTAGCTGGTTTTTCTGGAGAGATGTCTGTCTGTTGTAGCGACATTGCCCCATCATCGTATGAACATTTACTCTATCTTAATCGATGAAATGGATGCGTCAACAAGCGCATGGCTACCGCGGAAATGAAAGCCAGGGTCCAGAATTTGTAAGACCCCAAACTGACCCTAAGTGAAAATGGCTAGTATTAGACTGTCGTCCAAAACACCGACACTAACCATCTGGCTCACGTCTTGGGAACTTGCGTCGAATACGTAATGCAAAACAGTGAAAGACGGTGGTAGACTCACGACTGCTCTCAACTAAAATCCAGTTCCCGACGAGATTGAGAACTAGCTTATCTATGACTAAACGACATATTTAATGGGCATCTAAAGCAGACGTTAACCTCGTTGAACTACGTTGTTCACTTACCTCTTTACGATGGAACTGCCCCCATTGTATGGAGGGGCCATCTATCCTAAAGGGTAAAAAGCTGTGAAAACGTCTCATGGTTTTGGTTCTGGAGAAGAATCAGTCGTCTTTCTACCTACCAAAGAATGGACCATCTACCTACAAAAGAATGGAGGACAGATTTGTTGTTGACAGGAATAGTTACTAGGCAATATTCCTGCAGCTCACCTTCTACAATATTTTTCTATTTCTCATTCAGCATTAGCTGCTCCTTACCAGCTTTAATTCATAGCTCAAAAGAGGTTGGTTATTCCCTTTCGAGGCCCAGTATTACCTGAAGGACAGGCAAGAGACACTCCTGACATTTTTCATACTGTATGCATTATATGTGAAAAAAAAAGTTGAAAACATTTCCTCAAAACTCTCAATTTGGAAGCTCTTAGTTTAACCTGAAAACACGAGTCATTTCTAAAAACTTAGTTTATATTTATTAGCTTCGTTCAGTTTTTTAAAAAGATTTAAGAGAATCTCACCCGCAAAACTTAACATCGTCCTGGCAAATTAAATTACGTTCCCGGAAAATTTCTACATCTGGTGGCATCTGATAACTTGAATATATAATGCAGAATAACATATATCCTTTGGACTTACGTTTGTGTCCGTCCTTCGACCATTGTACCTAATGTAAATAAATTACGGCAGGTTTTATCAAAAAAGTTAGAAAAGTTTGGGCTGATATGTCGTTCTAGGAGCAGTGGTATAATATACTTTTTACGGAGATGCACGCTGCCTCATTTAAAAATTTCCGGAGGATCGAGATGAGAGACCGATTAGTTTTACTTCGTTTAGAAATGGGAATGTGGCTTCATGTTACCTTTACAGGTCAAACTGGCAAAAAGCTTGTATGCTCTCTTGTGCAACCTTAAAGAACTGTTTCACCCAGCTGCGTCTCACCTTTTACAAATATAGGTACTGGCGCCCACCGTGGCCTAGAGTACAGGTTACTCGTGGATTATCAATATGTTAGTTAGGACGCTACGCGGCTTTGCGTACGCGAAAGGCAACCCGTTTGCATCAAAATAAAAACCTGGTTCTGTATGGTACCGGATACGGACAACACGATAGGCTAATTATGTTTTAACGTATTCACTGTTACTTACTATGTAATTTAATTATTTATGTCAGTTACACGTGGTCGCTTTAGCAGGGAAAAATACGTTTTAAGGAAATGACGCCTTTCAAGATTTGTTCGTCTCCTGTCTACTCGTATACAAAATATTCGGTGGCCCAGGAACCCCACTTGCTTGCTTGCGAATATCACAGATTGTCTGTGTAAAACGCCTAGAGTTCGAGAAGCTAACAACTACTTTTTAAAGGGTAATCAATGCCTTATGATTACGTGTGGGGAATATTATCAGACTGTGAATGCAAGCAATGGGATGAATTGTGTAGCGATTAGAAAATAATAATTGTAACGTATATTTTACTTTACATTACCGTCCTTATATGAATTGAATCAGTTAGATGTCCCATCAACTTTTGCTGGTTGACAAGTTTTTTTCAGAGCCAACTTCTTAAGTATACACTTAAATAGGCACCCGTCAAGCGATGCACATTCTAAGTTATCAGATGCTGTTCTTCAGAGCTCTAAATTTTCCTTGGAGCCAAGAAATAACTCTCCCTCTTACATTGCACTCTTTTGTGCTCATAAATGGCTCAAGTAAACAGTGTGTTCCAGGTTATGGTAACCAAATTGAATGTACAATAAAACTTCAAAAGTTATTTACTCCACACTATGAACACCTTTATGTAACCTTGGATTACTAGGAAGTTCGTCATTTTATAAATAAATTACATTCAAATCAGACTGAAGTTCTGAATGGTATGCAGATAATTTTGCATTAATTAATGGTAATAGATCAGAACGTGCCAATCACCAATATCGCATTTTAGTCGAGATTGCTATGACTCTTTGATAATAGTCAGCAATAAGTACTTCCAGCTAAATCCTAGTTTTTCACTACAGTATCAGCAAGGTATGAATAGCGAGTATGGTGGTGTGGTAATCAATTAATTAATTAAGACTGATTATATAGGGAGGTTCTTCTCAGGTTTTTTAAATAAGATGATGAACTTCGTTCAGCTTCAAGTTTAATGACTTAAGAAACAAAGCATATATTTAAAAATAGATAATTTTTAAGTAGCGCTTTCTGAGGATAACACTATTACGGAACCGGCTTTTGGCAAAACAAGAAAACCGCAGTAACCAGGGCTATATCAGGTATATTATAGCAATTCCAAAAAACCTCCATCTCTATTTATTTACGATTAATGGTATGACCTCATAAAAATACCCAATCGTTGCAGTAGTTAATGATCTGCATATAAATAAGCTTGAATGGCCATATTGCTCAAGCAGCAATAATTTAAAATAATTAAATTGCTAAACCGCTCCTAGAAGTTCTTCTGGTTGCCTGGTCTGGAAATGCCTGTACTATAAATGACGAACACTCTAAAATTTTTCCGAATCATTGTTAGGCGTCTAGTTTGTGCTGAAATAACTAAAAATAATTGAAAATTTATTTTCAGTCTTGATTTTTGCAACACGGTTCCAATCGATAATGAAATTTATCAATATAGCTAAGCAGTCGCTTGTTTAGGATACCAAATACACGTTTTTCATTACCATTTAGTTATAGATTCTTCACGTACATGTTTAATTGCTAATTAGAAAACACTGAAAGCAATTGTGTATCATTACAGCTTTATAATTTTATGGCTGTCCTTTAAGATTAAAAAAATGGGATAGGTTTTTATGTCATGTCTAAAATTACATAGTTCAGGAAGGTGCGTGTAGTCAAGATACTTCCGCTACTTAAATGAAAATATCTTCCAACTAATTACTGTAAAAGTTATTGAAACTTGCTTCGCTTATTGACAAGGAAGCTTGACCTGCTTTTAGAATCGAAATATTAATGCTGTAAAATTGTTTAGATTAAATTTTCCTAGCAACACCAGTCAGTGGTCAGCTACTGTATAACGACTGTAATGATAAAAATGGAATTTGGTATTTTGTTTTCTTGCTTGATTCGTTGATAATTAATAAGCACACAGTGGGATCCCGTAGTTTAATATATAAATGTCATGTTACGAAGATAATAAAACGTACGGAAATAATTATTTTACCTGTGGTATTGCTTTTTTTCTTACTTTTATCGAATTTCAGTTTGTTGACTGGAGATTTCCATATAAGAGTCTATAAATTCTGTTTGTGTACATAAGGCACGCGAACTTGTCAGAAGACAACCGCGTTTTTGTGACCCTAGATTCGTGACTACGAATATTTTGACGCGCTTTTTTGTACCTGCCAAATCTACGACTCAACGGACACATATTGTGAGGGTTTCTGACAGACGAGCCTGGAAAACAAGACCCGCAACGGAATACCCGTCTATATAATTGAAGCTGCAACATCCCCAAGAGGTTTACTTCAACTCAATCTGCGCTTTTTCACCCCTTTCGAAAACAATGTCATACAAGACTAGGATGGGACTTCTATTGACTGGAGAAAATAAAAAGTCAGACTGGAAATGTCTTTGAACAAATTTCAACATGGCTCAGGCAATTGAAATTGTCAGTTTTATCCGAGGTGCAAAGTGACATCATAAATCTATGGCTTCAATTATGCTAAGCCTCTATAAGAAGATATACATCTAAAGACGGGGCTAGTAGACATATAATTATCCGTTTATTTAAAAAAAAATGATAATAATAAAAAAGCAAAGAGCACTGTTACATTGCAGGATTTTTCCTCAACGGTTCAAAGTTTCAACAACTTAATTTCTAGTGGAACTTAGACTAACTACCTCTAATTAAGTAATCTCTATCTTTTGCTTGCCCAACACTGTTTTAGCAAGTCAATTCTAAAGCTAATAGTATCAAACACCAATTCAGATATATCCAGCCTAATATATGTCTAAAACTGCTCGCGGAATCCGTACCATATTTTCTGAAAAAAATACAGTGAGTGCTGTTTGGAACTGACTTTTAAGATTTATACAATGACAGTGCAATACGAGTTGAATAGTAGCTAATCAAAACATTGAAGACAGTCTTAGATTGGCCAGTTGGTCAATGTCTAAAGTCCTCTTAACACACATAAGCACAGACGAATGAATAAAATGAATGCTAGTGAAATAAGAACAAATGATAGACTGCGTTCTGAATTCGCCCCAAACGTTTAGCCCTCCCTACTTCAATTATTACTACGTAGTGACAGTTGCGCTGTAACACACTTGCATAAATTTACCCATTGTTAGTTAAGGATAGTGTTGTAGTCACCCAGTAGGTGTCCAGATGCCCTCGTTAGGTGTAGGAAAACCCGCTTATCTTTTTCAAGCATGCCATTTTTAAAGTCGTTTAGTGCACAGCTTAAGATGGCTCAGCGAAAAATCGTCCGACCAGTTACGTTTGGATCATTCTACTAGTCTTACACGGCATGCTTATGATAACAACATATATATTTTATGAACTTTATGATAGTTACAGCTGCTTATTGACCATGCAGGACGTGCCAACGTCCTCAACGGATTTGAATGTACTAAAAACAACGAGATGGATCTAGTCCTATTTTCATGCTTCTTTCTTGCATTATGTGAGCGCAATTTATCTTCAAATTTATCTTCTACGAGAGGAAACGAATATAAACATATTATATAGCAAATTAAACACCTTAGGAAGGCTAGACGAGGTGTTCTAGCTGGTAACTGGAAGCGTTTAATAGGCGGCTGCTGCATGACTAGCGGCAGTGTCCTTAGAACGCGTCGACGACTGCAACATCGCTTCGCGACCACGAACCGCTCTATTGTGCCCATCGTCCATACATTATTGCGCCCAAGATGACTCGTCTTTTGAAACAAATTCGTTTAATGAAAGTTCGAACCTTTAGTGTATTTACATTTGAACTACTATATTACGTGAAATTCCTGTGCTTGTATGTCGTAAGACATACACATGCTCGCCACAGGTGTAATCATGTGTCAAATTTTATGGGTCCTATTTAAATTAGAACAACCAATCTGCTCCCTATTGAAGTTTTTTGCGTTTATTATTTCTGGAAAGATTTGCATTCAAGGCACTAAAGTGGGGTTTAAATAAAGCCACAAGGTTACTTAAGGTGTTCGATTATACAAGTTCTCTATTATTTGTAAAGCACCAGTATTTCATAAAAGTTTTTAAGCATTTAGTGTCTACACTGAGCTTCGAAGGTCATGCCTTTTGTAGGTAAATGTTAATGCTTATTTAAACATCTGGATTACGTACATATGCCCCTTCTAAGTATAGAAAACATGGGGAAAATAATACCTTCACAAAGGTTCGCACATTGCGTTCGGGTAACTAGATTAGGAATTACATCAACACTTATCAGAAATTACCTATTAGACTCTAAATAGAAACGGTTTTCAATGTTAAACTTACGAAATTTAAAATATTGGCTGCGAGGCACATAACTACCCACATACAACAATACAATCGTGCGATACTTGAAAAGGCATGTTCCTCGCCTTGATGTTAATTGTATTTATTGTATTAAATATTACAAAAAATAAAATAATTATTAGTGGATATTTCTTCAGTACAATATTAAGTGCGCAGCTCATCCCTTAGTTTGTGTGTGCGGAATAAAAACCTGTTTTACGAGATTTAGAAGAACGGAACGGGGAGACAATTTTTTATTTTTTTCGTTGAATCGTGTATAAATGGAAGCTCTGCTTGGGATATTAACGAATAAGGTCTGAAATAAACAATGATCATTTCACATATTGAGCTTGTACCGTGTTAAGATAGAAAGGCAAGCCTCCTACTTGTGGTGAGTCTGTTCTCTGATTTTACAGCTTTGTAGCGTGGTAACAATTTCTAATAATATACTTATAGCGATAGACTAAAACGACATTTTAGGTCCTTACAGACGGATTAAAAGGCATGTCGTAGGTGGTAATATTAGGATACTTATGCTTGTAACCATAGCTTTTGATTGCTTGGGTCGTGAAGAGCATAGTTTACAATAATTGCACTGAGTAAATTGCTGATACACGCTCAAGCGAACCGAATCGGGTGAACGATTTGGAGTAGTGCCTGAACTTGTCATGAAATCTAAAAGCATTGAGTACTGTGTCAGGCCAGGTCTCCTTCGCTATTCCTAACAAAGCTTTTGTTGTTTTTTAGAAAAGACAAAGTTTCTTTTTTTAACCCGAAAGAGCTGTTTTGTTAACCTGAATACTTTTCTTCTTTCTTGTGTTGAGATTTCTAAATTATCGCCTAGTCTTGTCTGGTTTAGCCAGATTATTCGTACGTCCAAAGCTCACTTAGTAAATTCACATTGATCTATTTGCGAGGCCCCAAAGCCTCCCTATCGATTTCTGTAATTTGCCTACAGAATTTCCTTTCCATCGTTACTTTCGTATCGCGCAATTTTATGCGTACAGGCATAGGAAGGTTGGTTTACTACGAGGATCGCAAAATGATTTCTCCGGTTTTTTGTCTCTGCTGTTCCACAATCATTTTTGGCCTTGGTATTTCAATTTTTGTGTCATCCATTGAGTATTAACCGATTATACAAAATATTCCTCCGTCTGCTACCATTTTGGTCCCTATATCATGGTCGTTCGGTTTATGAACCAACCAGAACCGCGTCAACCCGATACGCTCCAGATAAGCCAACACACTCTGATATTTTTGACTATACAAAATTCTTTATGCAATTCCCCATGCCGATACGAAATAGTTGATTTTGTTTGCCACACCTTACAATCAACAAAAAAGTAAACAGACAATCTTTTACTTTTACTGGTATTTATTTTCTTTTTATATTTTATTTGTGCGCTCAGTGCACCCCAATATGTTGTTGTTATCACTTTTTAAAATATATGCGCAGTTTATCTATATAAAGTACGAATATGAACTAAAGATATGCTTCTGACTCCTATTTATATACTAATTTATGCATGCTAAGGGTTTCGTTTTCTTTGAAAGATGAATTACTAAATTATCTATAGCCAGGTTGATCTCTGAGATCTTTATCGATATTGTATACGGATCTAGGACGCAATACACAGAAGTTCTTCAACACAAACTTCTTTTTTCAAAGGGGTCGTGTATGTGGAATGCGTATATAACACACGACCTGTGTGAATAAAAAAAAATTGTTTACCTATGAAAAAAACAATTGGAGATAAGCTGAAGTCAATGTTTTCAACCTTGAGTTATAAGTTGCTGCTAATAACCAAGTAATAAATAACTAAAAGGGGTTAGAGAGGTTAGTTGAATATACAGGTGGTTATAGTACAAAGGAAACACATTAATTGCATTTAGTTACTCTTCATATAAACGTCAAATCTTTCGATTTTTTGTTAATTAAGGTGTGTTTAAGTTTTTTTTATTAGACGGAAACTTCTTATATATGTACCGGAGGTCAATAATTATTATTATGGGTGGTAAAAAGGCATTTGCAGAGATGAATATAGAAATCCGCAGGTAAACATCAGAAAAAAGTTTTTCACACTCTCAATACACCTTAAGGACCTGACTACTCTTGTAATGTAAGCAGGGGAATCCAGAATTACTTTTGCAATTGCACTTATTAAACTCTTTTCTTTCAAATAGAAGGAAAATACTTTTTACAAACGTACCGCAGAAAGGGAAATGCTTGCAGTTTCGTTCCAAAGCTTCCGCCTGCTGAGTCGGGCTTAAAGCAAGTGTAACATACCCACCTACTAGATGGTAGTTAATCTACCCGCGATGGTAACTATCATGACTAAATACAAAGTTTACCAAAGAAATCCCATAGTTACACTGTGTATTCCCACCATGGACCCGTATACGCTTAGTTTTACTTTTGGATTGGTGGTCGCATTCACTAGATTACAACAAGAATATTGTACATCAAAAGACGAATCATGGCTCGACAAGCTGGGTAACAATGTATTGTCCTATCCTAAAACCATGTTCATAAACATCCCGAAATCTATATTTCGTCAGTTGGTTTTGCAGGGAATTGACGATAGTCTTCCTGAATTGAATACAAGTCAGGGCTCTTTCAGTTACGGGGCTACAATTCTGCATCGTCCTTTTCAGACCTTTCTTTGGTAACAGTACCATTACAGAGGGTGCTGAATTAAAAGACTGCATCCGCGCTATTTCAGTCAGTTTAGCTAAAGAAAGCGTTAGCTTGTTTATAGAAATATATAGATAGAATGGTAGTTCACTAGGAATAAATTTCATATAATGCGGGGGCTTGAGCACGAAACGTCTTGATTATTGTCTTTGTTGACATCGGTACCTCAGGAAGTCCTTTAATGGCAATCGAGTAACTGTATAATATCAAAAAACTACGTATTGGTACATAA